CGCCGGGCTCTGCCGCCCAGCACACGCCCAGTTCGGCCATCAGCCCATTAGATAATGGGGCACCTCCTCTGGGTGGCCCCGCCGACGACCTGGGCCACTGCAAAGCAAGGCGACAGCCACGCAACAACCCTTGAAACAAAGCAGGTGCTCCCAGGTCCCACTGCAATTCAGGCGTACGTGGGCAGAGACTTTTCGCCGCTGCATGCCTCATTGTTTGACACGTTGAATAAAAACAAATGTCTACCTCCAGCTCCCGCCCCCGCCACCTGCCCTGCACACGTCAGCCATCCTGCGCTCTCCAGTGCGCCCGGCGGGTTGCCCACCCTCATTGACATGGGAGAACGGTTTAGCGGCCCATTGTCCGCCGCGCGCACCGGGCGCAGGCCCCGTCCTGGAATGGACTAGGGGAGGAGGAATTCCAGGCTGTTCCAGGCTCGGTTCGGCGACGCAGGGACGACCCAAAAGGGCTGTCCAACAATGAAATTTCAGTATCGGACTTCGACAAAGAAAAATTATCGAAACTTTTCGGTTTCGGTTATCGATGTCGTACCGAAACATCGAAAATATCGAAATACCGAAAATATCGAAGTTTTGAAATACCAAATTACAGAAAACTTTGTCCCGAGAAATATGCATTTCTGTGCACATTTTAGGTAATTCTTAATTCTTTATCTTGCAAGTTACAAACTTGCATTCTATGATTCGACAATTTATGTTTTTGTCCATGGGAGGGATGCAAATACGTCATATTAAATATGGGCGTTTGCATTTAGACAAGATGTGCACAAAAATACATCAATCAACAAATTTGTCCTTTGAAAGGACCCTCAAGAGTGTGTAGATTACCAGTGGTTAGGGATCGTCCAGAAAGTACGTCCGTTTCTCTCAAAATCATCCTGCAAACTACAGTAGCTCGGCGCCTGCAAAACTCGGGGTAGGCCACCCCGCAATACACGCATGCACGGCATGCAAGATTGTGCCTACCCATCAGGCGCCATGAGAGCTTGCATTGCCTTAATTTGGAGGGTTCGTAACGGCAAATGACGGACGTACTTTCTGGATGATCCCTTACCAACTCTGTGTACACCTGATTACCACAGTTGGGCACCCCTCGTGCTCGCGTCACTATGCTTCAGCGTCCCGTTCAACCTCCGGCACACCGCCGCTTCCCCAAAATGGATTTTTTTTGCCGCTATCGTCTCCCCAGTTGCCCTCGCCAGACGTATTGACCGTTTTAAAGGCCAGACGGGGCCACACGTCCCAAAGCGGCCAGCGGTCACCTCTCGTCGCCGCTACGTCTTGTCCAGTTGTCTCGCTCCTCTCTTTTATTCCGCTTGCTGGGCTGGCGCTGTAGGGACGCGCAGAGCGCTCGCAGAAAGCACGGGGGTCGATTGCTTTCCGGAGCTCATTTCCATAGCTATAGGGCCCCCACGCCCTCTCCAGTCCAGCTAACCAGCCGTCCCTGCCCCTCCCCCGCCCCCCGGTCCTCCCCAAACATCGGGGCAAAGTTCACACCTCCGTGGAAGATAGGAGTCCAGTTGCTTGCGCTCTGCTCATTCAATAGTCTTATGGGAGTTTTAAAATCCGCTCTACAGATTTTAATGAAACTTCTCACAAAAATAAACCGAAAAACAAGAATATTTTTTTTGTTTAAACCTAATTAAAATCTCTTTAAAAAAGTTTACCTCAAATATGAACATTTTGAAGGAAACCCCGGCGATCCGAGTCACACCAACAATGGACCGCATAATTTCGTTTGTCTCTTTCGATCCTACTGCCTTTTCTGTTAATTTTAGGTGAAAGTAGCTCCAATTTACACTCACGTTTCCGACATTTCCATAGAACATTCTGGTGACAAGCGCCAACCGTTTAAAAGTTTAAAAGCCTTACGGGCTTACGGGTAGGCCTTACGGGTAGGCAAACCCGCAACACTGTTGCGCATTCTCAGTTACACCCGACCCGGTACACTTCAAATAAAGTGTACATGGCATGTACGCTTTAAATAATGTGTACATATGGGCATGTACACAATTCGAATTGACAGAATTACCGCGGGAAGATGTTCCAACCATTCAAATTTTACTTAGTAATTAGTAAGCACTCGTTCAGTACGAAGTCTAAGAGGTATGAACTATATGTTATTATTATCTAGTGAGTTGTGACTAGTGAAAAACAACTATCACCCCACAATCGTCATTAAAACTGTGCTCAACAGGGAGAGGTTTGAGCCCACCCACTAGAGGCCCCGGATCGGTGGGTCGGTTGGGTCAGCGCTTACCTCTTCGTAATATTTGCGCATAGTGGTCCGATTTCATGTGACACTGGCCCATATGGCCTGAACGGGTCCGGTAGGCCGCGCGATTTTTAGCTCGGTTTGTTGGGTCGCTTGGGCCGGAATGGGTTAGCGTGCTTTCGCTTAACCCAAAGCGACCCAAAGGTAGCATTGCACCTGTCACCGCTAGCTGGCGCTGCACTCGGCTGCAGGCGAGGGGCAGGGAGGTGCAGGGCGGGGAACGAGATTTTGGTAAGCCGACCCAAACGACCCAGCCGGGTCAGGTGGGTCCAGGCTCGCGCTGACTGGACCCGCGAGGCCCATGGTGGGTCTGACAGACCCAACTGATATGCGTATGGGTCGCATTGGTCTAGACTGGGTTGGGTTGGGCGGGTAAAGTAACCGAAATAGCTTGGGTCAGAATTTCACTACGAACCCACCGATCCGAGGCCTCTACCACCCACCTTGGCATCACCGTGGGCGCATTTACATCTATAGGAATCGTAAATAGTATGAGTGATAATTGGGAGTGAAATACGAAAATAATATACTCATGTAGTGTTTATTCAATGTGTACGTTTGGTGCTACAATCCTACACGGGACGCAAATGTGTGAGACTTTGAGTGAATATCACTACCACGGAACGTCCTTCCAGTGGACAAAATAGTCTGGCCGGGGGAGTCTCTCCACGGAGTACAAATGCAGCTTTCTTTTCTAAACATCTTAGTAATTTCCCAGACACACTCAACACTCTCTGTTAATAGTACGGTTTGTTTTGCGCAAAACTGAGACATTGTTTTCGCTCTGTTGTATTAATTTCAAACTTTGCCGTTTAACCTCAAAATGTTGAAAAAATGTTTTAAGTAGTTGGAGAGATATACAATGCTATGAAACCTGAGGGCCGGGGCTTTCCATTCATTTAGACAGTCAACAGTTTTTACATCAACAGAAATTTTACTGGTTCATTACCTCTACTCTCACTTCCTTGGTGGAGGTGGAAGAACGAGTATTGCACACTAAAAGCTTATAAACATTTTTATTCATAGCTTGCTGAGTTCTGTGAACTACGCATTTTTTAATACGCCAACAAAACAAATTTGTACAAATCATAAAGAAAACAAAAATTATAACGCTAAGCGGCCCCTGAAGTTTTATCAGTGGTAAAGTGTGTACAGCGAAATACCTGAGAAACGTGGCTTTATTTGATTAATCTCTCAAAGATAGATATATCTATTAATTGTTCACAACACTGTGAAAAATATTTTCTAAAGCTTAATCATATTTTTATTTCCGATTTACAAAATCTGTAGTAAATTAACGACGGCACTGGAAAAACAAAGGTACAAAATAATGTCTTTTTGAGGCGTTAGTGAACTAGTGCCCTTACAAAATAGCTTCTGGCCTCAATAGGTGTTATTTTCGGCAATTTTCCCTTACAAAGCCACTACACTACGGTGGCATCTTTGATAGGTGTTATGTTGCACTTTTGTTTTCCAAGTGAGAGAACACACATCACGGCAAATTTTCCTATACCTTCAGGGGGTATTTTTCACGGTGTATAAAAAACTAAGATAATAGAAACTAAGACAGTAGAAACTAAGACGATAAAAACTAAGACAATAAATACTAACAGCTATTTCTGTATGATAACTGGGGTTTGTAGTTTTCTCCCCAAAAAACAAAATTTTGGAAAAATTAAAACATTGTTGTTATTATTATACAGAAACAAACTTTGGACAGGACATGGGTTATATACAAGCACTCTGCAAATCTAACCGTATGTCAAGACGAACTGAAACTAAAAGTTTTGCAGTTAAAACTGCGAAACTAAAAAGTTCTTTAGTTTGAACTGCAAAACTGTATAGTTCAACAGTTCATCAAACTAGACCTATGGAGTTGTGCAGTTTAAACTGTTGAGCAACACAATTTTGAAGTTCAAACTGAAGAACTATTAAGTTTCGCAGTTCAGACTTCTAGTTTTACACTTCAACTAGTAAAACTTTCAGTTTTGCAGTTCAAACCGTCATCTTGTTATACAGTTAGATTTGCAGAGTACCTTCAGTACGCGAAAGTTCTAAGAAAAGTCGTAAACATTGTTTCTAGTTGTCAGAATTCCATTTACTGGAAAAACAAAGGTAGGGCTCGCAGGGTTTTAATGCCTTTACAAAGGCATCAACAATTAGCACGGCTGCAAAGGCATTAAAAGTGTCAAAATTTAACACCCCTCAAAAAGCATTAAGTCCTACCTTTGCTTTTCCAGTGTTGTTGAGCGTCAAAACAAAACGAATCCCGACATTAGCTAAAGAGAACGATCGAATGTTGCAGTCAGTCACCTATGCATAGGTCTCATGAGATCAAGCTTTCAAAACAAGTCTTATTCTTCGTCCTTCATTAAACAGCAGGAGATTTTTCGCACGTTTTCCACTTCCCCCACAAAATAATAATAAATAAATTAATTACTTACCTCTTCGTAATATTTGCGCATAGTGGTCCGATTTCATGTGACACTGGCCCATATGGCCTGAACGGGTCCGGTAGGCCGCGCGATTTTTAG